AACTGCTTATTAGTATTGTGGCAAAAGAATTTATCTGCAGAAAGATATTCGTAAACGTTTCATATTACAGTTTTGATCCTTATATTTGTTTCAATTGCAGGATTATGAGTATGCTAGTTACAATCCTATTGCCTATGACCTTGCAAACCATTTCTGTCAGATGGTAGCCAACTATCACACTGACACACCTCATGTTTTAGACTATGGCATATATTCAGGTAAGATACTGCTAAGTGTTTTTGCATTGTGTTCTTTGTACTTCACTGCCATCTATATTTGTATGAAAAATAAATCTGCAGACTTGGTGTTAAATTAGTTTTGCTCTTCTTTTCTCCTTCTGGCAATAGGTCCCGAAGAGGGCCACAAATTTGTGCGCACATATCTCAGTTCTTCAGGTTAGTCCGTTTGGTTTAGACCTTTATCAGATAGCAGAATTTAGGTGACGGTTTAATGAAAAATATGTCTCTTGATAGAACATAATGGAGAAACATGATTTATAAAATTGACTTCAAATAACTGGGATGAAGTTTTGTTGAGTTGAGAAATCGGTTTTTAAAGTTTCTTTTCATCTAAATCAAGATGCGTATACACATTGCACAGCTTCTGATGTTTATAAATGCAAAGAAGAAAGGCCAATTCTCCTAGTAAAATTTCAGTCATAGTCAATATCAAGCCATAGATTTCTGCTAAGCTTAATGTTGTGAACGTGCAGTGCAATAAACAATCAAAAACAAGTCCATCAAGGAGGCTGTTTTGCACTATCTATCGAAATCCAAAAAGTTACAACATATTTATTGGCGTCCCTAATCTTAATACAACTAGAAAACATAGTTTTAGTAATTCTGATTCATCAAATCCTACTAAAAATTCTCTGTCATATGTTTGTTTTTCGGACCTAGTAAATATGGTCCACACCCACTCCAACATTTGGCCTTCCTCTATGACTATGACACCTTTAAACAAGCAAAAGGTCAATTCTCCTTGGAGACTTTATGCCCTTATCCTTATCCAGTTACAAGCATTTTGTCTAGTCTCATGAAACCGACTGAAAACTGACCCTGAAGGGGGACAGTTGATATTTCTTTTGTGGGCTCAGTTTTGCTTTGAATAATATAACAATCTTTTGACTGTTGAGGCTAATTTTTTGAAAAAAAATGTGTGATTCTGAAGAAAACTTCTTAACTTCTCCATTAATGGATGTAGGCAATGAACCAAGTGAAACTGAAGTAGAGCAGCTGGCCAATGATGCAGAGAAGTACACTCTTGCCAACCATTTGTTTTGGGGCTTATGGGGTAATATCTCGGTATGAATTTTCACACCTTCTACCAATATTTACATGAATAGAGAGTACCAAAGTCGATATCGTCCTGAAACTTTCTATAAAAATAAGGGTAAAATTTTAAGTCAATCTTGTGAGGTTAGGTCTTAATGTATGTCAAGTTATATATCCCGAAAAGATTAGCTTATGGCTAAAAAAGTTGGGATCGATCATAACATTAATATTTTAGGACTGATTTGAAATGATCTCATTTTATTGTAAGTTCAGTAAGATTGAAGCATAACCACTATTTTAATTTGTAGTAAATTTTTAGTATATTATCGAAAAATAACTTTTTGATACCGTAGTAGGGATGAAGATTTGATGTGTATTGATCATTTTCTATTTTGCAGGTGTATGTGAACCATATTGACTTTGATTATTTGGAGTATACTAAACAGAAGTTTCATAAGTACTGGTTGAAAAAGCCCATTTTATTGAGTACTATCAGAAGTCTCCCTTTTTTTGGGGATTAAATAATGTAAGTCACGGTGAACCCCAACATATCTTTTTAATGATATGGTTGTATATCATCATTTCTATTCTCTATCACTCAATTTATTGAGGCATATAAAGCAATGGTTCTCAAGAAAAGTGAGACTTTTAAGAATTTGGTAGTTAGGAAGAGAGCAATGACCCCTTATACAGAGGGCCTTGGTCATAGACTAGGGCCAGGATTTTATGCTTCAACCAATACTTGCCGACCAAGTTATTTGTTGAATCACTATATTAATCTTCAACATTCTCGACGGACTTTTGATGACCCTTTTAACTTTTAAGGAAGTAAACTCTCTCTCTCTCTCTCTCTCACACACACACACATTGATGGAACACGACAAATATCTCTGGCACCTTTTGTGACTGTGAAGGCTTCACCATCGTCAACTAAGCGTTAATTGAAAAGATCTATTCGGGTTCAATTCAGATAAGATTTAGTTTAAACTTGACTCGTGTTCTAAACAAATTAATGTTCAATAATTTTTTAGACTCGTTTAATAAAAAAAGCCTTTAAACATTTGGTTTAAGCTCATAAAACTTGATTCGTTTATAATAAAATAGTTGAGCAACTTGGACTTGGCTCGAGTTCTAAACAAATTGAGCTTGAACAAATTTTTAGGCTCTCGTTTAGAAAAACGAGCTCAACAGACTTAAGCTCAAACTCGGCTCGATTAACACCCCAAGTCAACATTAGCACATCATTGATTTGAATAAGCTAAACAACCTCACAAACATCCCACAACCCAAACCAACACAACCTAACAAAAAAGAAAATCTGAATGTTGGTTTTGTCCTGAGCTAAAAATGAGAAAACAAATGCCCTGGAACTGAAAGAAGTTCTAAATGAAGTTATCTTCACTCTTTCTGGGATTACAAATCTAAAAGGTGACCTTGATATTAAGTACAGCACTTCCACTTCATGAAGAAAGAGAGGAGAAGGAACGGAGACTGTCGACGATGGAGTCTATAGCAGCATGTGAGGCACTAGTAGCTGCAAACTTGAGATGTTTAGGTGCTTCAGCTCTGTCAAAATAAAAGGCACCTGATACCAATTTTTCTTTTGGTTGTAAAGCCAACCAGATAACCGTGTCTGCACCTTCCTCGCTTGTTCTAAGTTTCCCTGACAATCTGGAGTATCACATTCAAGTAGGTGAATTCATATTTCATTTGAGTGAATATGCAAAAATATTAAAATAAAGAGAATTTACATTGCCATTGGAGTGGGATATCTTAATGTGAATGATGAATGAAGTATAAATAGCGATGATCAATTGCAAAAATCCTTACGATTGAGAGAAACTGGGCAGACTCTTGGCCACTCCAAGTGTCTCAGCCCAACCTGGGTGCATTGAGTAGAATCCAATACCTTTGGTCTTGTACATTTCAGCCCATTTTTCCGTCAATGCCACCTGACATAGAAACAAATTGAGCTTGAGAGGTTCCTCTTAAATGAATCACATCAAATTATTTTTATTGGTGCATAGATCGCAGGCAGATGGTAAGACAAGCAATCCACTTCTGTACAATGTGGAATTGCTCTCCTTACACTAAATGGAGAAGTACATAATTACATTTTCTGGTAAAGCACTAACATAAGAAAGAAGATAAGCTTCATTACAAAACCAGATATCACTCTGTGCCATTCATACAAAGAATCAATTCAGGTAGTTCAGGTAATAAGGCACAGAATATTTGCGCCAGGAAATAAAACCAGTAACTACAAGAGCATTATGATTTGGAGAAGGATTATGAGCATTATATGCATTATCATTGTGAAAATAGCATTAAAGGGCCGTGTGTGGCCAATCCTGTTACAAGCTTTACAAAAAATTAACAGGTCATTGATGAATGCCATGAGAAAATCCTAATTCGAATGATTTGAAGAAGCAAATTGAACGAAGGTGGATAATCACGATTGTCACTGCAAAAATTCTTTTTCTCGTTATAAGGCTGCTGTGATGAATTTCAGATTGTTTGTGTGCCCGAAGAAGGGGGGGGGGTGTTCCATTTTAAACAGCTAAGTTGACTCATTTGACTTGTGGAGAGTGGCTGGTCAGTATTATCTCAATACTTGCAGTAATAAATACGTTCAGCATAATCCTGAACTATTAGAACACGGAGCAATACCCGCTTCAGATGAAGGTTTTGAATCATCTGCGAGTCATCAACTAAGTTTCAGGTAGAATCTATGCAGATCAAGACTTGTCATTGATGTTTCTGCCCTCAGTTGTATCTTGACATGACAAGTTCAGACAATGGAAATTATTTATAGACACACACACACACCCAATTTAGTCCCCCATTAATGGGGAATCAGTTACTGTATCTCAATGTCAAGTGATGATTTTGCTTTTAGTCACTTAGCAAATTGTTATAATCCACGCATGCCAACAGAAGTGTTTTCAAAAAACCTGGATTTTATCTAGGAAGTGGAGATGCAGTACCATGATGATGCAGTTGCTTTACTGCAGGAAAGAACCCATTCCAAGTTCCAACAGTATCAGAAACACCGCAGATTTTTCAAATAGATGGTATCCTAATAAAACATCACAAAGTTGATTGTTGGCAAATCACATAGCACTAATGTCAACAATGCATTATTCAACTTAGTTATAGGTTAGTTTCAAGTAGTTGGGACATTATTCAACGAAGTATATCCAGAATTTAGACAGTTGGACGTTTGCATAATAAGGAACAGAAATTGCTACTTTGTTTTCTCAAAATTCTAGCAAAAACAATTGTACTCTCAAACATTTTCGTAGTCCACCTCAAGATTGGAGGCTATATTACTTTGACCTCGTGAAACACGCAAGTATAAGAAGATCCTTTACACAAGGCATCAGTTGCACTTACCTGAACTCGCTTGTTCCGAGCATACTGTTCCACCCCATCAAAATTGTTGCCGCTAAACTGCATTAGCGCAAGTTATTAGAATTCCCATCCTGCACCAAAGGTAATCAAATGGGTGATCTGCACACATTTTCTACCTGAAGATCTTTGGTCAAGGGAGCCGTATACATTCCACCAGAGGCAACTGTAATAACACGAGCATCAGGTGCAGCTTTCTCCAGCAAAGGTAACATCAATTCTGTCATGGTGTAAGTGCCGAGTACATTCACAGCAAAATTCAACTCATATCTGGTGTTATAGATTATAGGAAAAGGAAATGCATTAATTTACCTGCATTCTGCTGAGATTACAAGGAATCACAATGTTAAACACAAATAAGAACAATTTACCCTTCTGGTGTGATAATCCGCTTATGCTCAAGCAAACCAGCATTGTTAACCTAAAAAAATCAGAGTGAGTGAGTTTTAAGATAGTATCATCAATAAGGAAGAAGTTACAAGGGAAATCGCCAAAATGGAGGAATTAAACAGAATTGAAATGTATAACCATGTACAGACGCAAGACACAAAGGTCTGAAAATTGTGAATTGTTGAATTGGATCAGTTTCTCCTCAATGAATAAGTGCTTGGGCCACTAAAATCTTGCCTAATGGAGACAGAGTTGGAGAGGTGACAAAACCCTATACTTTTCATTACAAAACCAATAAACCGGAAAAAGATAGATTATTTTGTGAAAGAATTTTTGGCCCTATAAAAAGTGGAATGTGCCTGTGGAAATTATCGAGTAACGGGAGATGAAAAAGAAGACTCGAAAACACATTTAGAGAGTTGATGTATATACCTTAAGCAAGAATGATATTCTGCATTTAAAAAGTGTTACATTATAGATTAAAAAAAAAATGAAAACATTACCAGCACATGAATAGGAACATCCTTTGACGAAAAATTGGAAGCAAATGACTTTATCTCACCGACTGAAGAAATATCACACACCTGCAAGCCATAATCAGCACACCAGAGAAAGTGAAAGCACAAGATAAAGAAGTATGCACATCTATTAGCTTTACAAATCATCACATCTCAAGAAAAAAAAACATAGTATGATGACCAAATCCCTATCATGAGAGACAGTTCCTTAAGGAGCTCACAAGAACCAGTTAAGAATAGAACGGGAAGCCAACTACCTCCAAGTAAACATTTTTGTTGCCAGTCGCCGACTGAATTTTAGAAAGAGCAGCTTCTCCCCTCTCCTTATTACGGCATACCATATAGACAGTTGCCCCTCTGAGAAAAAGGCAAAAATGACTATGTATTGACTGTATTATATTATTTCAGAAAAGAAATTGTCTATTAAACAAATGCGCAACTAGTAAAACATTGAACAAATGTTGAAACAAGAAACAAACCGTGAAGCAAGACCCTCAGCGGCCGCATAACCAATGCCAGAATTAGCTCCTGTAACAATGCAGTTCTTCCCCTCTATTTGTGTTTGCATGTCTTCTGCCTTGAATTTTTTTGAGTGTTCCCTAAAATATAATAAACAGCATGATAGAAGAGAAAAGTTTGATCAATTCTATCTATTAGCAACTGCCCAACATAAAACTTCAGGGCATATGTCATTGTAAATTGCAAATTTCCAAATAAAACAGACAACCAATGATCGACGAAGACATGATTAAAAGTAAATTAATCCCCTAAAAAGCATAGTAGCATCCCCATGCCTCAACATTTTCTTATAAATTCTACCATTACTGACAAGTTGCTCAATGACATGATTAAAAATAAATCAGTCACCAAATAAGCACAGTAGCTTCCCCACCCTGTACATTTGCTCATGAATGTAGAGATTTAAACAATAATTTTTTAATAGGCAACGATATTTTACATTAGGGGGGAGGCCGAGGGGAAGAAAAGGTGGGAGGAAAATCGAACTTTCAACATGCTGCTCCATTGTGGAGGGTTATAACCATCCGGGAAGGACAGCAGTCCTACATTTAAACATTAATTTAGAAAAGCAAGAATGAACCCAACTATAGAAGTCACCAAATTTTTTTTTTGATTGAAATATTCTTACTTACATCATTCAACCATTAGTTTCCAGGTTAAACTTGGTACATTATGTAACAAAAGTAAAAACCCATTTACATCACTCTACATAATTTACATCCACACACACACACACAGAGTGACAGAGAGAATCTTCTATCCATATGTTTAATCAATTATCTAGTAAAGATATAAATTGCATACAGGAATACATATATTGGACCAATTGGGACTTACAAGAAACCAGATTTGGTAAAATTGAGGTACCCATAGACACCAAAAGCTGTTGATCTCCATGTCTGTTATTAAAGAAGTAGAAATATATCAGCCATCGAAAATGTCAAAGAAAATATATATATAGAGAAAAAGGGGATTGAGAGGAGTGTACTTTGAGAAGGAACATAGTGAGTATTTTTCTAATAAAAAACTTGTTGGGTTGCAGGGTATCACCAGTTGCTCATCTTGTCTGTTGTGTGTTTGGTCGATTTTTAAAGTGCACTGTACATACGTGCAGGATTACTGACCGCACAGGGTGGGCACTAGCCGTCTTTACGTGGCTACTGCTCTTTCTTTCGAGAAAATATTCACTTTGAATTCAATTTTTAATTAAATTTAAATTAATATTTGAAAGTGATAACTTGACATGGATTCGATAGTTAACCGTTATACTAGCATAATTATGCTCGTTTTTAAGAAAAGTACCGAACACGGTCAAGAGCCTTATGATGTCACTAGTGAGGGTTTATCTTGGTGGTCTTTGGACACTCTCCTTTGTCCCTCGTCTTTTCTAATTAGCAAAAAAAAAAAAAATTTGATTTAATATAAAAGGCCCTGACGAAAATTTTTTAATTTAAAAAAAAATAAATTTATATTTAAAGGAGGACAAATTTAAATTTAAAAGGGGATAATATATAATTTTTTTTGATACTTAAAAATTAAGTAATGATTTTTACACTCACCAAGAATTCATCCAATTCTCCACCTCATGCCTCTCGATTTCTTACCACCATCAAGTTACAAAAAATAATTGCTTCACATGTAGAAATAAGATTACATATATTTAAATGACCAAAGTTTCGTGCCCCATTTTTTTTTCTTTCCTAATCCTAAATCATGAGAAGTCCATATTAAGCACATTGGCTGATTTATTCATTACCATGTATCAGCAGCTAGCTTGTATGTTCCCAGTTCTGCATCACTTATTTCAAATCCAAAAAAAGGCATCACATGGGTATGGAGGTTTATTTTTACTTTCACCATTCTCATTCTTAATAGACCTTGCAGAAAACAAGATCAAAGCATTAACAGGAGTATCCTACAATGATGCAAAACATCATGCACAGTTTACCTCTTCAGGTTCTCAGATTGCAGCTCTATTTGATGGGCAGAAGAAATGACTAAACTAGTTTAATTTGTTTTGTTGATAATGGGCAATTGTCCCAACCACGTGTGTTTCTGTACTCATGATTTCAACACAAAGCTTAGATTTATGCAATTATTTGTTATTCATGTGCATTAGTTAAACCTGAATTTTATCCACCAGAAGACTCGAACTCAATATGTGCAAATTTATGCAATTTTACTTGTTCGACTACTAAACCAACCTGTGCGCCATAACAAATGTAAACTTGGAATCTTGCAATAGGTAGGGAATTAACTGCTGTTACTTGTTCTCTAAATAACTGGCAACCAAACAATAGCATGAAAATTTTCATTGACAGTATTACGCAGGCATATGTGAGGTAGATCTCATGTCGGAATCTCATTATAAGTATCAAATATATAGCTAAAAGCTTCTTCAAGTGGCGAGTTATATCATTTTTTTGGGGGTGGGGGCAGAGAACGGAGGAGTTCAACCTTTGACCTCAAGAAGACAAAACCTTCACAAGGTAAGGAGTACATAACTACTAAAAAAGTCCTAAAATGCAGACACCTCGAACACTGCTTATATCCTTGAAAAGTTGTAAGCATTCATCATCAGATGTAGTACCTCTATTAGTAATAACAAGTGGTAACCATTTTCAAGTTTTGAGGCATGCACTCAGGTGCATGAACTGTAGTGTGTTAATATTCCATTAACAAAATGGCCTTCTACTTTCCGGCAAAACAAATTCCATATATACACGCAACATTACAATAGAACTTGGATTTCAGAATGGAATGGATCGGCGAATGATTAACATTTCACAAAAGATGCAGTAACGTGGACTTTACAAAATGTATCTTGCTGTGCAAGTTCTACAGTGCACAACAGTAAAAGGAAACGAAAACTATAACACGAAATACATCAATATACATCGACTTCTACTGATACCTCAAAAACTGATTTCTATACGAGGACACTAGTAAAAAAAAGGATACAGCGAATGTATTTCCACTAATTGCATCTATGAGCAAAATATCAAAAGAATTTATGTAAGGAATAGTAACAATATTGAGAGTTCAATAAGTCTAAGGTAGAGGTGGCAGTATCGGGAGTTCAATGAGCCATTGAAGCCCTCATTTGTATCCTCTTCAAGTTTGTCGAAACTTGACTTCTTTTAATGCTCGCTATCACTTGCATCCTGCATCAGTAGAACAAGTCAGAGAAGTAAATTAAAAACTAGCGTAAGGAGCTTAGTGTGAAGCCAGAGCATTAATACTTCAAATATTCATTGGATGCAATTGATGAGTATAGAGTGAACATGTGTTCGGGCATAAATGCTTCGTTTGGCCACTGAATGAATATTCAATCTAAAATTGATAAATCATGGGAACAGGACAAACAGAAACAGATCCAGTATGATATTGCCAAGTTAGTCCCAACTCCAAGTGTATGAATGGTTCTTCCTTATCCTCCCCATGCCATGCAATGTGTTAAGTAATAATTTTGGCCTGGAAGATATGAGGTATTTCGTCGTTATAAATGTAAGACAACTCAGTAATGGCCTTTTTTTCTACAACATACATCGATTCTGCTTTCAAGTTCATCACTGCATCCTCTTCAGAACCACACTATATGTGGACCCATCAGTGGCAACACAAGGAAGCATGACAAATATGAGGGAGTGGAAAATGAACAAGGTATTATGTTTGTTTTGCATCTTTTGACAGAACATGAGTCTTTCATGGGGTTTCTTCAGTGATTCAAAATAACTTCTCCATCACGTGGAATTGAATCCTATATACAAATCCTAGTTGAGAAACTAAAGTGCATATAGAGCAATCATAACCTCAGCAATTTTTAAACCCAAAATGGATTAATTCACCATGAAACAGAAAAAAAAAAACCTGAATATAATATTTTCCTGAACTCCCTAACACGGCCATTCATATTGGAGGCTTAACTGAATGTAATTCAATATCCAAAACTGTCACCTAGTCTGATTACAAGTTCAGGAAAGGGCTATACGTTGTGTTGGGTGAATTAATCCAAGACAGGCTTAAAGAAAGTTGAAAATAAGTATTAGGAGTTTTATTGATGAGTATTAAATAGTCCAAAAAACAAATATGCAATAAAGTTGATGAATGAAAAGTTGTACTTTTTTTACCTTCTCCTGGAATTTGTTTATTTTCTTTTCTTGCAATCATGCATATATTCCTCTGTAGATTTGGCTGCCTATTTTTGTATTGATATCTAGAAAATAAGATGTATCTACAATCATAAAAATTCATATCATCAACTTCACCAAATGCAATTCCATCTACAAACATTACACTTTACCTTCACAAGTACTATATTGTCAGCAGCTCTAAGATGCCCTCAAATAATAACTGTCATCTATTACTTTCTATTAGTTTTGAAGTTTATATTGTTTCCTTACATCAAATGGTAGCATAATTAGTATGAGATGTTGGGTGCATTTGTACTTTATCTATACTGGTTGTAAATTCTTTGATTAGAAACTTAACTATCCACACAAGGCCATGTTTGCTATTACAATTTAAATATCCATGTTAGTGCACTCACCTCCTAATCTTAAGAGAGAGATAACACCATCAACTTCCATTTCTGCTATATTTTCCTCCTTTTCGATTTCCGCATCTGTGAATGTAAGAGCCTTTTGTAACTTCCTGGAAGAAAACACCTCAACCTCTACCATATATGAGGCAGTCACTGGCCGATGATCAGAAAGTCTAAGCTCAGTCCTTTGATAGCTCAATAGCCTCATGCCCTTCCCAAATGAAAGAATGCGGTCACACCTGAAAAATGAACATGCATTCCAAAAATGTTTAAGCAACCAACATATATTCAAACTAGTAAAAGAATAAGTTTCGTTTCATCAACACAGAATCAAAATGTAGTATGGAACACTTAGGTGTAGGAGTTGTTATATTTTGGGGTCAATCTTGTTAAAAAGATCTCAAATCCATATCTTGTTCAGACCCGCAATGGTTTCTAGGACTTTATTCCTCCGAAAATATGTATACACTTTTGACCAAAAAAAACATATATACACTTGGCCTTTATTCCCCAAGCCAACGATGGACAAGATACCCTTGGATTTGATGCATGTCAAACATCACATTAATTGGATACTGGCGATCAATCACTATCTAATCTATGAATGCACATTTCTTATCATCAATAAAACTCTAGCTCAGAGAACTAGATGGATGAGAGAGCAGATAAAAAATAACACATCAACTTGCATTTCAGCAGGCGTAACAGACTTAGAAAGCACATTAATTCCAATGTACGGCTTCTACACTTTTGGGCCCCGCAAAAGCTATTAAGGGACACAAGGAACAAAAGTTACACAAAATGTATATTGATTCTTTTCACCAATATGCATGCACATAAGCAGATTTGATTAGGTATGCATCAATGTGGATTACAACTAGAATAAAATGTATGAGACATTGCATACTGCAGTGGTTAAATGCTCGGGCTATCAACACAAGGTTATGGGTTCAAATAGGAGGGTAGTCACTTTGTGTATATAATGCCAAAGCTTTGTTTATATCCATTCCACCTCCAACACCCTCGTCTGACAAGGATTAAACTATGCAATGACCATTTATTGTAAATAGTGTAAACTCGTGCAGCGATCATGCCATCCTCCCATGCAAGGAATCCTTCAAGAATCAAAAGCAGTAGCACCTGTTTGCTCCCCTGTATCTCTCCTTGTCCACACGAATTCCAGCAGTTTACTAAATCAATAAACAGTAAGAAGCTGAAGGTACAGAATAAGTTGCTGTCCTTTTGATAACATAATACCCAGGCATGGCATTACTATTTCACTTATGGACTTTGTGCTAAGATAAGGCAAGATATTTGTTTGATTGGAAAAAAAGAAGTTGAGAATGCTAGAATATTGGTATGCATGGCAGTACTTGTAAGCATATATCAAATACATACAATATTCCAGTATATATAGAAGTTTTGGGAACAGAACAAAAGAAAGGAGCGTGGGACTAGAATTTGATTGATATTGGCAACCAGAAAATGATAACACAAAGATCCAACCACATGTAGAAATCCACTGAAGAATAAAACATTCATCAGATCTGAACCAACCAATATAAAGAGACATGCCCAAATAAACAGGGAGCAACTAAGCAACATGCAATATGTATCCACAAAAACATATCTCGATATAGCCCAAGAAGATAAAATTAAAGAAAATCAAAGCCATGAGAAAACAATAACTAGACCAGAAGGTGCATATAATAGTTGATGCAATCCAACAACATATGTTGATCACTTGTGGAATCAAACCCCATGAATGAGAAAATAGTTCTAAATACATACCATGCCGGGGTTCGTCTCCCGACCTTTGGATCCTCTCCACGATACTTTTCTGAGTTCAACTCATATTTATAAGTTGGTGCAAATTTTAAAGTACCTTCAGACCAACCATCAAATGCACGACCCTTTTTTAGCTCTCGTACAAGCTGCAATAACAGAAGGATGCCAATGTATTCAGAAAAGAGACATCAAATCACCTAAGTGCAAAACAATTCAGTCAGAAGAACGTAAGTAATTACGGGGGCAGCAAACTCGTGAAAGCAATCCATGGAACCAACACAAAATTCACGAAGGCTAGTCGGTATGTTTCATGTCTAGATGACCTGGGAATCCAGTTAGCCATCTTCACTTTAAAATAAGTCTAGAAAAAATGAAGTATAGATAACAATCTGAGCAGTCTGAAAGTGTACAAGATTGTGACTAGTAAAAAAGGGTCAAAATTTATTATTCAGTAGTTCAAACCAAGACTAAAATCAGGAGAATCGAGAATTCACAAATTTAAATTATGTCTGAGATAAATAATCTGGAAATGTATAATGCTTATGTACCTGATCACTCTGCACCAACTTGGACCAGTCCTTCTTGGAGATTAGCTCTCGTGTTCTCTCATATGATAGATTGATACGGTAATTTAGATCACCCAGCCAGAATATTCTCCTGCAAACGTATAAATATGTTATTATATTCTTTTATTTAAAAGAAGAGGAAAAACGAGAATGTTTGAACAACCTTTCTAAATAAAATGGAGATTGAGAAAATAAATTTTCACATTTTATATGGTATAATTTGGTAAATGAGTAGAAATCCTTCAAATTCTATAAAATCCTACTTCTCTTACAGACGTGTTAATTGGCATGTATACAATGCCATTTAGGATCTCTCATGTCTCTTAACTTTATCAAGACATCAGTTGGAGGAATGCAAATGAACAGTTTGGGAACGATAGAAAGCTTTAAGTTTTATTAGATATAATTGCAGGAAAAAATATTTCAAGAATATACACCCCATGAAAAAAGAAAAATAAATGCTCAGATATTTGCGGGGTCTGCAATACTCCTAAATGTTTTTTTTTCCAAAGAAAGCTAGCAGCTAGTTCAAAGGAAATTACAACACCTTCAAACTAATGGCCCTAGTCCCAATATATTAAGCATTTGGGGAGCTGTTGAGCACGATACCATGGAAGCTGAGTTGTTTTGATCTTAATTACAGATTATCCTAGCCCTTTTTAACTTTTTAAACAACAAAAAAAAAAAAAAAAAAAAAGAAATGGAAATGCTATCAAGGTTTCAAGCCATCGTTGGAATTAATCAACAATTCGAAGTGTTTTTCTTGTGTATTTTTTGTAAATCAGCGTGTCATAGATATCTAACATATTCGTGCCTATAGATTTTCCCACAAAGCGGTGACGGAGCATATAGCATCATATCTTGTGGAAAAGACATGAAAAGGCAAGATAAAAATTAATAACTTGAAGAAGGCTCACTTCAGTATATAAATTTATCTAGGGGTGTTTATAGAAATTTTATCCCGTAGCTTTCGAGTAATAGTACTTGGTTTTTTCAAGTATTTAATTAAATTCAGACCAAAGTTTTTATGAGTTGCCGCATGAAAATTGTCTTCCAAGACTAGTTACCAGATGTTGGGGAAAAACAAATAAAAATTGCATCTATGTAAGGAAGACCAGATAAATTATGAGGCCACTAATCTTTATATAAAGCAAGAGGCTAAGATCCAGTAGTACACATACATTTACTTACTCTCCCCATTTTACTTTGGTTTTGACTTATTTCCCTTTATGAAATCCTTTAATTATGTTCAGGCATTCATTATGGTAAGACCTTGTGCCTTGTGCCTTGTGACTTGCTCCTTACTCTGCATCTGCCTTTCGCTTTTTATAACAGTGCATGAGGACATGCATGCATGCATGTACTAAAATTAAGCTTCCATTTTTCAAAGCAGAAAGTTGCAGCAATATGAAATTTGAATATGAATAAAAAAACTGCAGTTTTCAAAACAATACACTATACAGCAGATGCAAAATGAGGATCCATAACAAACGCTTTTAGGTTTTAGTTCTTTTGCTTCACATATTTATATTGGAAAGGGAAAGACGGAAACCATGAGTTCTTCAATTCTAAGATGCAAACATAAGATTTTCTACATCCAGAGGAGAATTATGTTTTGAAGACAAGGTGTAATACCCTGTAAAGGAAATCGGCTTCCAAAGAGTTTCAAACAGAGTATATTGATTCAGGGGTGCTGCAAAAAGGGACAAACCAGCCACTAATATGGTAAAAGCTTTGGCCAAGCCATGTGGATAGGAGTGGGGTCAAATGAACCCAGTTAATTTTTGAGAATCAATGTTGCCAAATTAAACACTCAGAAAATTTTGGATCTTCTATCTATCTATTAACCCACTCAAGTGTAAAATTTTAATGGAATATGGTGTCTAGATGGGTCAACCTCCAACATTAAAAAGGTACTATAAATACCCCAAACTGCAAAACTGAAGTTTCAGTTGAACACAATTTATATTCTTCTTGTTCCACGTCTCCAATTCTGACATCTAAACCATGGTTGTGAGGATGCGATAAAGAATGGAGATGGAGGGGAAAGAAGATTTGTTGTGCACAATTTTTTTAATTTATTATTATTTGGACTAGTAAGATTATATATATATATATATATATATATCGTATCAATGACATATTTTTACCATTTAAATTGAACTAATCAAAAGTTTTTCATTACTTTTGACAGACCCCACTCAGAAAATCTATAAGCCTTGCCACTGTGTAAAAGCCTTTACCACCACAGATATCCAATATTCAACTCTATAATAGTTAGAAATTTGTTGGAAATATTGCAGTTTAGTTTATTAGGGTTTATTATAGTTTTCCTTTTTTATTTTTTTATCATTATTGTAATTTTCATTGGCTATATATACTGGAGGCTCTACACTTAAGTTGTATCCTTTTTGACTCACGTATATTTCTCTAGTTGGTGTCAGAGCAAAAAACCCTAACCCTAGCCTTCTATACCTCGTTGCAGCCTGTCGCCAACACAAACCAGCCACACCACCACCACTACACAACTGCAGCAACCAGCGCAAGCCACCTACTGCCCAGCCAAAAACAACCACCGAAAGCCACCGACTGCCCATATCAACCAGTCCAAACAACCACTGTAGGACTGCAAAAGTAAAACAACCAGCAACAACCTCACCTACAGCCTACCGAAACCAGCATCCCACCGAAACCAAAACAGCAAGCAACAGCCCACAGAAACCGAAACTTCTCCGACTGCCCAGCAACTAGCGCCTTGACTCCAACGGCTCAAAAACAAAACCACAAACCAGTCGACCTACCTTGACCAGTCTGCCCAAAATCAATCCAGTCCAGTCCCAAACTCAATCCAATCCAGTGCAGTCCCAAACCAGTCCAGTCCCAAACCCAACATAGTACCCACTCCATTGGACCAGTCCACTGTTGGATCGCGTTCTTCGTCACAATTTCGAGTTATGCCTTCGTGCGCCTAATTATTTGGGACCGTATGATCTTTTAAGATGAGTTGATTTCTTTTCTCCGTTGATCCGCTCTTGATGCAGTAGATCAATTATTTATATTTATTGAATTTCTGGGCACCGTAATCTGATTACTTGGGAGCTTTCTGGACCTTCTTTATCTATCCCTATTGTTCGACCGGAGGTATATTATTCTCCCTTATTTTGTCCCTCTATTTATCTTAAAAACTTTTTCCTGTCACGGGTGCCAACATATTGTTATTGTTATGGCTACTATTGAGGGATTTGAGATCTCTACTCTTGAGACCTCTGCTGTTAATACTTCAACCTGGAATGTACCTCCTAGTTCTCGTCGGTGTGATTATTGTGGCCGACTAGGCCATCTCCAAGCTACTTGCTGGAAGCTCAATCCGGAGCTTAAGCCGTCTCCTCGCAGCCGTACTGCTATTGTTGTTGAGGTACCACCACCTACTGTCGCTATTGCTGCTGCTGCTGCTGCTCCTCCTCCTCTTTGGCAGAGTGATATGGATGCTATCATTTCTCGATTGGATATACTTTTGACCGCCTTGACTTCTCAGGGTTCGATTACTATTATTGCCACCACTACAGGTATACCTCGTGCCTTTCATGCTTGTGCCAGTCCGTCTCCCCTTTGGATGCTAGATTCAGGTGCAAATGGTCATATAACAGGTGAGACCCATCACTTCACCACTTTTGACGAACAGTTACATACACATATTCAACTAGCAGATGGGACACATACCCTTATTGTTAGCAAGGGTACAGTCCATCTCCCAGATGGCTTTACATTACATTCGGTTTTTCATGCGCCAAAACTGGCCATGAATCTATTATCCGTATATCAGTTAGCCAGAGATTTTCACTGTGCGGTTGTATTTTTATCTGATTCGTGTTATTTGTAGGACCTGAGTACCAAAAGGATTATTATCAAGGGATATGAGAGAGATGGATTGTATTATCTAGGCAATCCACCTCCATCACCTACACCTACTTTGTCTTTATCTGTTCCTAGCTTGCATGCTAGTATCTTGCTTAGTACTTGTCGTTATGATTTTTTATAACAAACTGTTCAGTTGTGGCATGATCGTTTTGGACATACAAATTTTAAATATTTATGTATGTTATTTCCTGTTTTGAGCAATGCTTGTGTTGGTGGTAAACTTAGCTATGTTATATGTTCCCTATCAAAACATGTTCGGACTAGTTATATTCCTCGCATGCACCAGGAACCCAAGCCATTTGACCTAATACACTCTGATATTTGGGGACCCTCTCCTGTTACTACTTTGTCAGGTGTTCGATACTATTTAACATTTATAGATGATCATACCCGTTGTACTTGAGTCTACCTTTTGTATAGGAAGTCTGATATATTCCCTGTCGTCACATAATTTATTCAGATGATTAAGACACAATTCGATGTCATTGTTCGTGCTCTTCTTTCGGATAATACCAAAGAATATGTGTCTGATGCCTTAGTGTCTCATCTTTCCTCTCAAGGTATCTTTCAGCAGCTCACTTGTCCATATACTCCTGAGCAAAATAGAGTTACTGAAAAGAAAAATAGGAGTTTAATAGGGATGGTACGTTGTATGCTTAGAGGTATGGGGGTACCAAAATCTTATTGGTATTTTACTTTTTTAACTTCCACCTTTCTGTGTAATTGTACACCGAGTTGTGTTCTTTAGCATAGGGCTCCCTTATAGGTCTTATTTCCAGAGCGGATACTTTTTCCAGTCCCCCCTCGTATTTTGGGGGCACATGTTTTGTTCAACATCGATCTCCTACTCGCTATAAGCTTGATGATAAAACAATTCGTTGTGTCTTTGTGGGGGTATTGTAATCAGTCTAAGGGGTATCGGTGTTATGATCCTATCAGGCGCCGTATGAATCACAGTCTAGATGTTACCTTTCTTGAGCATATTTCTTATTTTTCTTCCAGTCCTGTGTCTACCCCTCTAGTTGATGATACTTCCTTTGATTTTTCGTTACCGCAGGAGCCAAAACCATTGGTCACTATCAGTACAGAGTCATCAGTCCCTCCTTCTCTAGAGTCACTTGTCCCTGTCAGTACAGAGTCACCTGTCCCTGTCAGTACAGAGTCACCAGTCTCTCTTCCTTTGCAGGTTTATATTCGTCGCCCTTGCTTTCATTCCCCTGCTGATGTCCCTTCTATCTCAGGCGATGTAGTTAATATTTCTCAGTTCGTTGAGCATATTGATGCACCTGTTGTTAGTACTGATGAGATTGCAAGTACTGAGCCAGTTACTTTCCCTAATAAGACATTGTCAGTGGACGATGATGATTTAGGGCGTCGTTACCCGCAGTGTGATCGTCGTCCAGTTGTTCGTTATGGTTGGACCGCCAGGACTTTATATCCGATCTCTGGTTATGTGTCTTATGGTGATTTGTCTCCTACATTTCGAGCTTATAGAATGGCCTTATCAGATAAGCCGGTTCCTCGCTCTGTTTCAGAGGCTATGAGGGAGCCCCAATGAATTCTTGCCATGCAGACGGAGATGGACGCTCTTCTGCATAATCATATGTGAGATCTTATCTCTTTACCTTCAGGAGTGAAGCCTGTTGGCTGTCGCTGGGTTTATACCCTGAAATTTCTTGCGGATGGTACTATTGATCGTCACAAGGCTAGGCTTATGGCGAAGGACTTTACTCAGGTATCAGGTCGTGATTTTGGTGCTACATTTGCCCCTGTGACAAAATTAACTACTGTTCGATTGATTATTTCTCTAGCTGCAGAGTACTCTTGGACTCTTCATTAGTTGGATGTGAAGAATGCATTTCTTCAGGGTGATCTGGATGAGATTATTTATATGGATGAACCATCGGGCTTTCGTGATGAGGGGGAATATGCTGGAAATGTATGTCGACTGCGTAAGTCTCTTTATGGATTGAAACAGTCACCACAAGCTTGGTCTCCTCGCTTTAGTGATGTAGTTGTACGTTTAGGGTTCACTAGATGTTATTCTGATCATACCTGCTTCATTCGACGGAATACTTCTAGACAGTGTATTATACTTTTGGTATATGTTGATGATATTATTATTACTAGAGATGATATTTCTGGGACTGTGCAAGTCAAGGTAGACCTTGGGAAGGCCTTCAATATGAAGGATCTTGAATTTTTGCGATACTTTCTTGGGATTGAGTTTGCCCGTAGCAGAAAGAGTATTGTTCTTTCTCAGAGAAAATATGTTCTGGATCTTCTCTCAGACACTGGGATGCTGGGGTGCAAACCAACATCATCACCCATGATTCCAAACTTGAAACTTACTGCTGAAGGTAAGGAGTTGAAAGATCCAACTATCTATCAGAGGTTGGTAGATAGACTTATCTACCTAAGCCAACACTAGGCCAGACATTTCATTCGCTGTCAGCCGAGTTAGTTCATGCACAGTCTATGTCAACCTCATCTTGATGCAGTTTATCATATTCTTTGGTATCTCAAGTCTTGTCTTAGACTTAGATTGTTCTATGCATCAGGATCTCAGAGTGGTTCTCTAGCCTGTTATTCAGATTCAGATTATGGGAGAACANACAGTCTATGTCAACCTCATCTTGATGCAGTTTATCATATTCTTTGGTATCTCAAGTCTTGTCCTAGACTTAGATTGTTCTATGCATCAGGATCTCAGAGTGGTTCTCTAGCCTGTTATTCAGATTCAGATTATGGGAGAAAATGTGATGTTCGATCTACTACAAGCTTCTGTACTTTTCGAGGGGCTCATCTTATCTCTTGGAAGAGTAAGAAGCAGTCAGTTATCTCCCGCTCGTCAGCAGAGGCAGAGTATCGGACATTGACACTTGGCACATGTGAGATTATCTGGCTAAGATCAATTCTTGGCGAGTTAGGATTTTCAGTGACTTCTTTATCTACATTATATTGCGAAAATCGATCTGCTATTCAGCTTACTTCTGACTCTGTATTACACGAGAGGACGAAGCATATAGAGATCGATGTTCACTTTTTTCAGGAGAAAGTTAGTAGTGGTATTGTCACTCCATCGTTTGTAGGGACAAGTTATCACGTTACAGATGTTTTCACAANGAAGAGTAAGAAGCAGTCAGTTATCTCCCGCTCGTCAGCAGAGGCAGAGTATCGGATATTGACACTTGGCACATATGAGATTATCTGGCTAAGATCAATTCTTGGCGAGTTAGGATTTTCAGTGACTTCTTTATCTACATTATATTGCGAGAATCGATCTGCTATTCAGCTTACTTCTGACTCTGTATTACACGAGAGAACGAAGCATATAGAGATCGATGTTCACTTTTTTCAGGAGAAAGTTAGTAGTGGTATTATCACTCCATCGTTTGTAGGGACAAGTTATCAGGTTACAGATGTTTTCACCAAATCTGTCATTCTATCTATTCTTCGGGACTCCGTTGTCAAGCTTGGCTTAGTCGATATTTTTGCGCCTAGCTTGAGGGAGAGTGTTGGAAATATTGCAGTTTAATTTATTAGGGTTTATTATAGTTTTCTCTTTTTACTTTTTTACCCTTATTATAATTTTCATTGACTATATATACAAGTACTCTACACATAGGTTGTATCCTTTTTGACTCACATATATTTCTCTAGTAAATTTATATTTTCTATCGGTTGTTGAACTAAAAAACTGCCAAATGAAAAGAAAAAAAGAAAAAGGAATGCCACATTACACATGCAAGAACGAAAAGGCAAAAAAGCTAACAAATTCGTCTCTTCCACACGACAACGAGAGAAAGATGTATTAGGACATGAAAAGATTGTAAATTGATATGCCTAGAAAAGATACAGTTAGGAGGTCATAAAAGATGCCAAATACTCACTCATGGTCATGGATGCTTTTAGGAAGTCCAACGCCAGAAACTGAACTAAAGCGTGTTCTTCGATGGATTTCATGAACATCAGCATTTCTTTTAACTGCATCTACTTCTTTTTCACCTGATGTAAGGTGCGTACATATGAAACAGAAAAGCGTCTGATATATAGACATGCTAACTGATATTGATCCCTGAAAAAGTGGAAAGCTCTCAAGATATTGGAGGAGTAACGGTAATGTAATTTGAGTTGGAAATTAAACAATACAAGTAAACTCAGTAAACAAAACTAACAAAAAGAATGTCAAACAACATGACTCAAATGGTTAGGACCCATTTGGTCATTCAGAATGGAAACATGCTTCTTCAAATATCGTCTTGGATTGAAAAGGAGACAAATGGAAGAACAGAAACAACGAAACCAAGGAAAAAAAATAACTCTTGATACTACCTAGACCGTTTAGACTGTTTCCAAAAAATGCATCAGATAGTTGCATGTGCTCCCCAAGGTAACACTGCAAATATGAAACCCCCCAGCATGGTCAAGGTTGTTACATCTCTAAGTCACATTACAGTAGTTATGAGCATACAGTTCCATATTGGGTTTTTACCATTTTATGCAAACCCATCCATCTGAAATTCTACAGTTTTAGTTGTGCACGGTAGTTCAGTTATACAGACCTAGCACAAGTTTCTCGAGACCTCAAATAATGAGAACAATTAACTCAAACCAGCAAACTAGTGGAACATATATTCCCATATGCAATTTAATACAAAACTGATAGGCAAGGTCAATAGTTCATAGATTAGTGTCCAGTTCCAAATTTTAGCTATGACACATATATAGCAACTCTAGTGACTCTAGCCTTTAGAGCATAACTAGGGAAATAAAAGTAAATTCTCATTAATTTACCATCTGAAAACAATATCCTGATAGTAATAAAGCATGTATCATCATGGTTCAATCAAGCTGTGGCCCATCTAAATGCATCAACCCAGCAGGTAAACTAGGCGGTCAATGGAGTGGCTTAGGTACTGTTCAAAGTCAAGATCAGGAATAAACTCAGGCGGATTGCACTTTGAGTGGCTATATGGTTTTGTCTCACAGGCATTCTGCATTTAAGGAAATTGAGCAATGTCGTTCCATATATAGAATTTTCTATATAGCGAAAGCTTGAGATGTAAGCCTAAAAGACCTGGCTAGACTGATGAACAGACGTACATCTTATGCATAAAGCTATCTTACCCTCAGTGACCCATTAATTGAATGTAATGGTTAACCTGTCAAGCATAACCCAATTTTTTCTAATACAATTGAAAGGACATAACATGTTGCCAATAACCGGAGGAGAATTGGAGCCAATTAGGCAACTAAAGAGAAACACTGAGCCTATCTGGCTATCTTCAACGTAGTGATGGCAACGTATATCAAGTTTCAAGACACTGCAGCAGTTGAACCTTACACGGTACGCACACCACGAAAGAAACAAAGCATCAATAACACCTTGTAAAGCAGTTGTAACTTGGAAAACCTGGTCTAAAGTGACAGGTTGACAAGCTACTATCTTGTACATGTGTGTACTGAATTAAGCTTGAGAAGACAGATCTAGGGTTATTTGTTCTTTTCATTGTCAGATATGTGCTTGTTTTGCTTGTCTTCACAGAATGCTTAAGTGATGGAATGTTTTATATTTGAATTTACTCAGTTCACAGGATAAGTTAATGCCTTGTCACCAATCCACCAAATGAAAACAGAACCAAGCGAGTAGTCAGCAGTAATCACCAAAATGCGCACATAAGGGGGAAAAACAAACCTTGTTGCCTATGTAGCCCATAACACCAACACCAACAGTAGACACATTTAAGTTTTGGATGTGCTTTCGCAAGTGTCTACGAACCCATATACTGAGAGAAATTCCGACCATTTGCTTGCTTACTATCCTTGCATATGGAGGTCTTCTTTTACGATACATGAGGGAATCAAGGTCAAGTTCTGTGAGCAAAGCTGCCTCCAATGGCACTCTATTATCACCATTTTTAAATGAGTTGAAAGAACTATATGTCCTGAAAGATTTGAATGATTTGATGGATTTAAAGGAATTAGGTCTGTCCAAAACACGCTGAGCCAGCAGATCCAGCGGTGGCTCTGGCCAACTTAAACCAATCCTTTCTGTCCCACTTAATGTCTTTGTTAGAACCTTACTAAATTGGGAAACTGATGTTTCTACATTTTCTGTACAATCCTCAGTCCGAAAGCAGTTCAACCTGTCCAGCTTCTTGGGAGAAGAAAACTGTCTCTGCAACTCAGATTCAATTGGCATGCCTAAGTTGGCATCATTGCTGGAGACTGGAGTTTCAGCACTCATAAAAACATTTTCTCCTGTGGCTGATCCATCCTGGACTTCATCAAAACAATTGCTTTCTTCATTTATTGGATACATTTCCTCCTCACCATCACTATCAGTTTCAAGTAATATTTCATTTTCTATATCTGGGGCATCCTCAGATGGCTTGAACCTTGATGGAGAAGGAGGATCACTGTAGCATTTAAATTTATTATTTGCAGGTTGGATTTTATTAAGAGTTTCGCGAATGATATTTTCCCACTTTGGAACTGGTCGGCTATCTTCCGCACCAAAGATATTTCCAGCATTTAATGGTATGATCTCCTGAAAACTGTAATATAAAGGGAGTGAAGTTACTATGGAAAGAACAAAGGATATAATCAACATAGAGTTAATAACACTAATACATAGAAGAGGATACACATGCTTACAAATTTATTTAAACTTAAGGATGAGAACAAGAAAACCTATCATAAATTATATTCACAAAATGAACGCCAAAAGCTGATAGTAAGGAAAATAAGATCAATCAAAGCAAACTATATGCAGAAACAAAGTGAAGAATTGCTACTAAAAAAGATACTGCACCCCAATGCGACTGTACTCCCCAGGCGGGATACTTAACTCATTTGAACTCAGAACACTTACCCTATCACATAAATATCAGCAGGCTCAGTGGAATCTAGCCAACCTTCAATATCTAGGTCATCCGGTGGAAGTTTACCTCCAACATTCCACGTGCCAACACATATTCTATCATCACAAAAGACAACAGAAAAAGACAAGCTTCCAACATTACGACCAGATATACAAGTGATACTTATACTAGCCAAACTGTACCAATCAGCTCATATGATCAATACAAGGGAAGCAGCAAGCAAAAGCCAACATGCCTAAGTTCTTTTGAGTTGATATACTGTGCCCTAAATGTCTCCGACCTCCGTCTTCTTGTTCTGGGAAGAGCATCTGACATTCAAAAAATAAAAGGACCACCATGTTGTTGAACTGAATCATGAAAATTGCATTTAAGTTGTCAGAGACACTAGTTTCATTAACAGAAGGAACTAAAATTGGAAAGCTAGAAACTATAAAAGCCTTTGAATTTTGCAAGAAGGCAGCATACAATTATTTCGCCCATGGATCATTTGGAAGCTTGCAAGGGAATGGTATGATAAATCATAAGTTCCAAAGCAATGGATAAAATTGCCAAAATATAGAGTTAGTTGCCCAATATCAAACAAAACATTTCCCATGTGACATAAAGTGATTAACCACGTACACACTTTTATTCAAAGAAAAAGAAAAATCGACACCACAATGATCAATTCCAGTATGGCTTGAGATTTTTTCATAGCTTCCACCAATCACCATTACAATATTCAGCATGCAATTCAAGAGTCAATGTCTAACAAAACTTGAAGTCCAATTCGATGTATAGAGTATATTTTATGCTTATCCGCCCAATTTGTCCCACTTATTTATCATAGAGTCGGTTGTCAATAATTGCCTTACAAGAAGAATAGTACAGCAACAGTTCAAACTCCAAATCTTTGGTTTTACCAGTGACCTTCTATAACCTAAAAAGGGCATATCAAAACTTGATCACGGTAAGTGATTAGGGCTTCTTTTCCAACTTATGGCACTCAAAGTTCACCAAAACAAGTAAATTTCTCTCACATGAAAGAAAAATCCATAATTCGAACTTTAAATAGCAGCACACATTACCGTTAGTATCAATCTGAGCTTCATTGCTTTTATCATTCTTGAATCGCGATTCTCTAGGCCAGTGACGATGTTCTACAAAAACCCATTTCACATTCAAACTTAAACTCTTAAAAATTCCTTCAATCATAAGCACGAAGCATTGGGAACACCATCACATAACCGCTTAAACGAAACATAAATATATTTTCAATGCATCTGAAACTGCGCAAATTCCGAAAATTCGAAAACCCTTGGGTTAATGCCGAATCTGACCTTCGGCATCGGAATCATCGTTGTCATCATCGTCGGGGTCGGCACTGTAATCGGAGTCCTTGGTGTTGATATTGAGCCATTTGCGCATGACAATCCTCGGCCAGAAAAGCTGTAGGCATGTGCAACCGAAACACAATATTTCAGCCCAACTTCTCTTCAATTCTTATTAAGTCATCCAAAAATAAAGCCGAGAGAAAAACAGAAAAAAAAAAAAGAACCATAAACTAGCTCAAAGTTTTTCTAGAGAGAGAAAGAGTAGTACCGCTGGTTTTTGGCCTTTTGATCGAGTCTTCATGTTTAGCTGAGAACAAAAGCTAGAGAGAAAGTGTGAACAGAGGACACAGAGCTCTGAAAATGGTGGTTGTTGATGAAGCAGAGGAGTCCGGAGGTTAACGAGTAACGACCTTTGGTGGGAAAATAACGGTAATGAGCTCTGGCATGATCATTGAGAGTTGATGTTATTTATCAAGAGGGTCTTAACTTCTATTAATTACAGTTTATACCCCCTAAAAAAAAACTTGGGCACCAAATCCTTGCGGCTGCGTAGCCTCGGAAGTACTCGAATTCTTAACGCTCCAATCACGACAAACCAAGAATCATGCCCCTCTTTTTTTTTTCACTTCTCTATTGAGACCACACATGCAGGTCATTACAAAGTTTTTCTCTCTCTCTCTCTCTCTCTCTCTCTCTCTTTATATATATATATATATATGTATTGCTATTTCATTAAGGGGCAAAAGTCACGGTCGACAAGGAGTAGGTGATAGAGATATGAACCTTTTGTGACAAATAGCATGGTGACAGATCAAAGAATAACAATTGGCGTACAAATAACGAAAACTATTAGAGCTGTACTATTGTCTTTTTAAACGTGGATCAATGACTAGCTATTCAAAATCGACTAAAATAATAAGGATTTTAAGGTTGCGTTTCATAACGTTTTTAATTTTTAATTTAANTAGGTGATAGAGATATGAACCTTTTGTGACAAATAGCATGGTGACAGATCAAAGAATAACAATTGGCGTACAAATAACGAAAACTATTAGAGCTGTACTATTGTCTTTTTAAACGTGGATCCATGACTAGCTATTCAAAATCGACTAAAATAATAAGGATTTTAAGGTTGCGTTTCATAACGTTTTTAATTTTTAATTTAAAAAAAAATTAAAATTAAAATAGTTTTCGATTTTCGGCTTATAAAAAATAAAAATCAAAAATCTGTTTGGTTTATAAAAAAAAAAAAAGGAAAACAGTAGTCTCTCTATCTCTGGGTTCTTGTCCTATCACTCAACCCATTTTGAATAAAAAATCGCTCTTTCTCTTTACACGTTAGCAGCAAAAGTTTCCAAGAATCCCAAGTTTCCTGCTGCCTAACCTCCTATGAAATTTGATCTTGGTTAGGAGAGACTGTGTGAGTGAGAAACAGAGGGAGAGAGAGAGATTACTGGTTCACTTTCCTTTCTATCTCTACCCCTCTCCCCCCTCTCTAGATTTGCTCGTATGTGTAATTCTATGCAAACTACTGAGAGCTGAGACCAAAACATTGACAATAATTTGGTGGGTATTGAGCTATATATTCTAAGATCAGTATTGAGAAGGAATATGTTTGGTTATGAGTGTGATTGCTGGGATAATGTTTCTGAAATCCACCACTTTGAACCAAAACCCTTTGCTCTGCCATCACGTGTNGATTGCTGGGATAATGTTTCTGAAATCCACCACTTTGAACCAAAACCCTTTGCTCTTCCATCACGTGTACCACAATGGCCTCAAGGTATGCCTTTGAATACCAATATTATTTTTATTTCCTAGTTCTTGTGTGAAGATAATCTTGAGGATGGAGGATGAGGGTTTAAATATCCACAAAAACAAGGAAAAAAATTCTGAAAACCCTAGATCTAAAAACTTACCTTGGTAAGAGAGACGAAGCAGCTGTGAACGACCTAGGTGAAGACGAGAGAGATGAAGCTGCTGGACGCTGAAGCTGTTGGAACGCCTGGAATGAAGCTCCTCTGTTGAACGTCTCTGCTGAACGAATAGACGAGAGATGACGGGATGAGGAAAGTTTGAGGGTTTAATTGTTGCTAGTAAGATTCGATGATAAGATCTCATTAAATGTCTTCCGGCCGTTTCCGTTTTTTTTTTTTTTTTTTGAAACGAATTTTTTCCGTTTTTAAAATTTGAGACAATTTTAAAAATAATTTTAATTAAAAAAAATTAAAACAGTTACTAAACGAGTTTAAATTTCAAATTTTTTAAAAAATTTAAAATCAAATCATTACCAAATGGACCCTAAATTTAAAAAAAAAAAAAATCGGTAAATTTGGGGTATATAATGAAAATAAATTTTCAAACTATAATCCCAAAAGTCAAAAATAGACACACGAGCTAGGACAAGCATTTAAGTGCGTGGTCCTTGGATTTTACCAGGTAGGTACCCATTTAGAAATCACTGTCTTTCGGAGTTGACTTGGGTACCATAAAAAATATCTATATACCATATTTTATATTTATAACACTTGTGATTATTTATATCATATTTACGAATATTTTTAGACTATATTCAATAGAAACTTAAATTCTTATTTAAATTTGAGTAAAAAAAAAAGATTAAAAAGTTGATTTGGTATAAATCTTTCTAATAGAAAAAATTAAATTTAAAGGAAGGGAAATTTAAATTTAAATGAGGACAAATTTAAATTTAAAAAAGAGTAAAATATGACAATTGAATCTTTAAAATGAGGTATAATCTCATCATTAAAGATTTGTGTATGAATTTAAATCTCTCTTAATTTGAGTAAAAAAATAATTTTTTCTTCATTTGATATGATTATGGGTTTAGTATTAGAGAAGATTTAAGAGCATTTTACACAAATTTAAATTTGGATTTAAAAAGACTTACCATTGTTGTGAAATTCAAAAAAATAATAAAAATAATTATCACAATAATGATAAAAGCATCAATAAATATGCTAAAAACATCTACAAATATGATAAATTACTAAAAAAAGAGATATTTTTTTTTGTTATAAAATAACTCACAAAAATTATAAAATTACCTATTAAAATAATAAAAATTAGAGATATGGTAATAAAAAATTTTTATTCGGTACAAGTCCCTTTCTTNATCTACAAATATGATAAATTACTAAAAAAAGAGATATTTTTTTTTGTTATAAAATAACTCACAAAAATTATAAAATTACCTATTAAAATAATAAAAATTAGAGATATGGTAATAAATTTTTTTTATTCGGTACAAGTCCCTTTCCTAATACTATCACTTGTGACAATTTCTGTCGTATTGATTAGGATTGTCAAACATGTCGGNAAAACATCTACAAATATGATAAATTACTAAAAAAAGAGATATTTTTTTTTGTTATAAAATAACTCACAAAAATTATAAAATTACCTATTAAAATAATAAAAATTAGAGATATGGTAATAAATTTTTTTTATTCGGTACAAGTCCCTTTCTTAATACTATCACTTGTGACAATTTCTGTCGTATTGATTAGGATTGTCAAACATGTCGGGTTAAACGGGTGAAAAATATATATATCCGTACACGACACGTTTAATAAACGAGTGAAAAATTTTANGGGTTAAACGGGTGAAAAATATATATATCCGTACACGACACGTTTAATAAACGAGTAAAAAATTTCAACACAAACACGACCCGTTTAATAAACGGGTAACACGACATTACTCGTTTAACCTGTTTAATTTAAAAAAATTATATTAACAAATTTTAATACTCAATTTTTTTTATTGTCAATTGCACTTACCTCAAAAAAGAAGATTTTTTAGTCAAATCTCATAAAAATAAGACTTGAAAGCCTAGAAAGAAAAAAATTAAGAGGTCTTTATTTTTTATAGGCAACTCAACCCTTCCTATCTTCCCTTATTTTTCAATGTGAGACAAATAAGACTTGAAGACTTAAAAAAAAAAGTAAGAGATCATTGTTTTTTTTTATAGACAATTCAACCCTCCATATCTCCCCTCATTTTCTAATGTGGGACAAATAAGACTTGAAGGTTTAAATAAAAAAAAGTAAGAAGTCATTGTTTTTTATAGGCAACTCAACCCTCCTCATCTCCCCTCATTTTCCAATATNTCTTTATTTTTTATAGGCAACTCAACCCTTCCTATCTTCCCTTATTTTTCAATGTGTGACAAATAAGACTTGAAGACTTAAAAAAAAAAGTAAGAGATCATTGTTTTTTTTTATAGACAACTCAACCCTCCATATCTCCCCTCATTTTCTAATTTGGGACAAATAAGACTTGAAGGTTTAAATAAAAAAAAGTAAGAAGTCATTGTTTTTTATAGGCAACTCAACCCTCCTCATTTCCCCTCATTTTCCAATGTNTTTTCTAATGTGGGACAAATAAGACTTGAAGGTTTAAATAAAAAAAAGTAAGAAGTCATTGTTTTTTATAGGCAACTCAACCCTCCTCATCTCCCCTCATTTTCCAATATGGGACAAATAAGACTTACTTTTTGTCTTTTAAGTGTTCCTCATCTTCTCTCTTTTGTCTTTGAACTACTATTTTACTTCTTTTTTTTAATTTATTTTTTTATTTTTTTTTCTTGCTAATTTTTTAAAATAATTATTAATTTATTATTATATTATTTTTTTTAAACGAGTAAACGTGTGATAAATGGTTTGACAGGTCTTACCCGAACACGATTCATTTATTAAACGTGTTTAGAGTGTTAACTCATTTATCACTCAAATCCGCTTAATTCATGTTAATTCGTATCAGTTAATCGTATCGTGTTAAATTTTGATAACTCTAATATCGAGGAAACTTCTTATGTCATGTCGCAGGTTGCTGTTTGGCCTGAAAAGGTAAGATATAAATGGACCAAACCCCAAAATCTGGCTGTCAGAATTGTTGGTACTTCCTCATTTTGGGACAGGGAGGCTCTCGCTAATTTGTGATCTAAAACAAAAATATTAAATAATTTTTTTTATTTTTAATATTATTTTTTTAAAAAAATTAATTTATTTTTAATTTTTTATGTAAGAGGAAGAAAAAAGAAGAATGTGTTAAATGTTGTCGAGAAAAATATTTTAATTTTTATTTTTATTTTTTACCACTAAGAGGAAAAAAAAGTGTNTATTATTCAAAATATAAAATATTGCAAGATCAATAATTGATTTTTGATATTATAAAGTATTTTCAGACACGAAGATATTGCTAATATATAACATCAAATTTTAATATTTAATGGGACCTACAATCCATTCAAAGAATATACTGTTTTTGTNTTATTTTTATTTTTTACCACTAAGAGGAAAAAAAAGTGTTTAAATATTTTTTTTATTTATAAATTTTTAATTTTATGGATTGAATTATAAGCCCAAATTATTATAATAAAAATTTGAGCTTAGGGAGGCCGATCTCTTTTTATAAACTTA